TAAAATTCACTAGTTCTTTTAAGTTTTATTTAATATATCATGCAAAAAAATATTTTTGCGAAGCAAATTTGTATCAAAATCTTAAGATTATTTGTACTAATTAAAATGGATGAGATATCCGTAAATATTCGTAAATATCCGCAAATATCTATTTATTTTCTGGATATCCGTTTTTCCGGATATCCGTATTTTTTCGAAGCAAAGCAAATACCAAAATTAGGTATCCGTAACATTCGAAGCAAATCACAAATACCTTAAAAAACCCGGATATCCGATCCGTGCCCACCCCTAGACCCCACTCTTCCACTGATTCAAGAAGCTTCATTGCAACCTTCATACCTGTATGAGGCGGTGGGAGAGCAAAAAATGTCAATATTTTACTGTTCAGCTTCCAGTTCCGATCAATGTAGTGTGCTGTGATACACATATAACCCTCACGCTTCAATGATGACCACAAATCAGAAGTGAAGCTTACTCTTCCAGGAAGATTAGCCAATTCTCGCTTCAGTGTCTCTCTCTCATTTTCATAAAAACGATAGACATCTGCTTTAGCTGTGTTCCGGAAAATGAATTGAACATCAGCATTCAAGTACTTCCAAGTCTCTCTGAATTTCTCATACTCAACGTAAGAGTAAGGTAGGTCATGCTGAATTATAGTCTTGGTTACCAGCTGCATGAACACAACATCATCATACTTGCCACTTACTAATTTGGCTTCAGCATCGAGTTTTTTGGTTTGGATATTCCTTGGATAAAGTTTGCATCTATCACGATGCCTTCTCAACCCGTTTGTTCCATGCGAGTGGGAACTCCATGCATACTCATTCTTAAAATGATAGCATTTAGCTTTCTCCTCGCCATTGGGTTTTCGAATCTTAGTAAAATCAGGCCATACATCAGACCAGTGCCTACCCTCCTTCTGATTCTCGACTTCGTCCTCTTCATATTCACCTTCTGAATCAATCTGATCCTCCTGAATCTGCTTCCTCTTTTGTGGCTGGCTTGGCTCGGCATGGATCACTTTCTTACCATTGCCTTTTATCGGCTTGGAACTCTTTCTCCCACCACGAATGGTAAACATAACAGGTTTTTTTTTTGGTTTACTCCTCTGTGAAGATGACCCACCGTCTATAGTAGACTGGAACATTGGTTTCTTTGAGTTCAAGACTCTCCTGGTTCCAAAGGTGGACGACTGTTTACAAAGCATAGAGGTTTGGGGTGGAGGAGGCGTGATTTCAAAATCACTATCATCTTCAGTATCATCAACTTCAATCATCCTTCTTTTACTTGCTTGCTTCGTTGTTGTTCCATCAGATGAACCATTCTCAGCCTCAGCAGCCGTTGAAAGAGCTGCAAGGGTTTGTTGAGTCTTAAAGTCTACTGTATTCAAGGGTGTGAAATTTGGATCAAAGTCTTGATCCATATCTTCAATCATCTCTTTCTCTCTTGCGTGTAGGTTTAAGGTTTCAGTGAATTTTTTTTTTTTTGGTTTTCAAGTCACGGCGTAGTCACATAAAACGTGAAAGAGAGGTCTCTTTAGGTTTAGTTTCGTAGTTTTATGTAATTTTTAAAATTATACCAATTATTTACTTATTCCCTATTGGTCACGGACTCAAGCATTATAAGAAAAATTTACTATCATTCTAATTTCTAAACGATCAACTTGATCGGATCAAGCAATATCATTCACAAATTCAACTTAAAGTTTAAGAAATAAAGTCCTTATTTATCATACCAGCTCAAGTCATATCAGACATTACTTAAACAACAATTCACAATCAATTCAAACCTAAATTCTATCAGCTCAGAAGCAAAGCAAACCTAAAGTCTATCAGCTCTTATCAATGGAAACGAAAAAAAAAATAGAATAGAGACTAACCTCGGGTCCTTAAACTTATAAATCAGAATGCAAGTGTCTTGGAATACCATCGACAAATACCTTGTAGTGGTAAGCTGTTTTTTTAAGAGACAAATGAGACAGAACAACATATATGAAAACACCATATATTTTTGATGATAATTTTTTTTTAAGAGACAAATGAGACAGAACAACTTACATGATTTCCTGCAATATGTTCCTGGTGCGTATGATGGTGAATAGAGCCACTGAAACGCTTTATGAACTTAGCTTTGTGCACGCAACCCTCCATCTCATTAACCGCTTCAGGCCTTATCTTCTGGAGCTTCGCAGCCTCAAATTTGTCTTGACACACCACCAATGATCTGTTCAATCTTTTCTATACACAATAAAAATGCAAGAAGCATTAGTTCACCTATCATCTTCTATGCATCTCCTTTATAGAGTGGATATACTTACTACCTGAAAGTGAGCCATTTCATTCTCAAAATGCTGCTGAGATTTAACAACTGGGACGATGCAGTGCTCGACGCAGTTACTTATCTCCTCTTGATTTCTTCTTCTGTCAAAGCACTCATACGCACACTTGAAATAAGCTTGCTGCACAACAACGAAACATGTTTTTTGAATTTCATAATGAAATAAATAATTCATGTAAACTCAATTTTGAGATATATATTGTCATTTACTTTTTGATCTATATTCTCTAATCAAATCGTTATTTAACTAAATTCATCAAAAGTTACTTATTTTCGACAAAAACTAACAACTGAGATATTCCATCTAACATTGCAAAAAAAAAAGTTAAAGGTGATAGCTTTCTGGAGAAGAGTTTAAAGTAGAGAGATTGAATAAAACCCAGTAAAGAGTTTAAAGTTGTGAATGAAAGATACCTGGAGGGTGAAATTGATGTGATCTTGGATAGGAGAAATCTGAGACTGAGCTGCTACATTTACTTCTTCAAGCTTTCTTCTTAGTCTCTCCCGCTCTCCGATAAGATTGCTTTGATGTTCATCAGCAATTAAAAGGACCATCGTTCTTGAATCTTGGCTCAAAAAGTCAAAAGGAAAGAAAATGATGAAACTGAGAAGAGACTCTTCCTTGATTAAATGAGGAGATGAAGAATATGCATGAAGAAGTTATGACGAATCGAAGTTGACGGATCGAAGAAGAAAAGAAGCCGGAAGATATCGCCTTTGTAATCGCCATCTCTCTCTGTTTCTTTGTCGGTGAGAGCTCGAAGAGTGAAAGTGACGACATATGTGCGGATCACACACGTCCCGTGGGATACACCAAGCCCATCCCGCTTCTGGCCCAATTCCGCACAAGCTCATCCTGCGAGGCCCGCTAAATAATCGGGCCTGAATTTTAGTGTCCAATCCCGCCCCGCAGCAAGACCTAATGGGCCGGGCCTGCGGGCAAGTTCATATGTTGCCATCTCTATTCATTGCAAGTCTGAAGTTAAAGTGATACACGAGCACGCGCAGACAAACACGAGCACATGCTCTCAACTTATAATGTGCACTTTCACGATCTCTCTAATTCCAAAATCTTTGTCTTATCTTGGAACCGAGTTTTTAAAAATCTATTTCAAATTTTTGTTTCAAAATGAACAGTATTGTATGGCTGATGATGAGTGGTGAAGTAGTAGCTTTAGTTATGATCCTAAGGAGTCTTCCGGTTGATGCATATAGAAAATTCGCAGTCAGGCCACATGTATGAAGAAACCAACATAAACGAAGGTGTGTACGGAGATAATGATAGTTTAGAATTTAAGGCTTATTCACCCTGGAGTAAACGCGAGGAGGAGAGATCGGAGGAAGTATTCTTACACTTGTGTTCCTTGTTCTGAGTTTTGTAAAGGGTCATGTCGTAAAGGAGACTCTTACCTCACCCTGTACTGTATAAAACACGGCTTTGTAAAGATGAGACGTGGTGTGCAAGGAAAGTATGTTTCTTTGCTCATAAACGTGAAGAGATGAGACCAGTTACGGCTTCAACTGACTCTTCTATGTCTCAATCTCATTTTAACAGCTTTGAGATGATGCATGGTTTGTCTCCTCATGTATCACCTATGGCTAATAGTGTTGCTTCTTCTCCAAAAAACGGTGGGTCATGGTAGAATAGAGTTAATACTCTTACTCCACCTGCTCTGGAGCTCAATGGTGGAAGCATATTGAAGTCTACGTTTAGTGCTAGATAATATGGAGATGGAACTAATACTTTGAGGTTATAATAATTTTGAAGAGACTTTAGGGTCAAATGTTTCCTCTCCAAGTGGAAACTCTCAGATGGGTCAGAACATGAACTAACATAGGCAACAGCCTCCTCACCACGGGTTCTACTCGTCAGCAGCTGCAGTGATGAACTTGAGATAATCTTCTTTTTTTTTTGCGAAACTTAGCTTGAGTTTCAAACCGTTCCTCAGGAAGCATCTCCATCGAATCTCTCAGATTGGGGATAACCGAGCAAGGAGATGAAATGGGGAGTGGAAGGAGATGAGCTGAATAAGATGAGAAGAAGCGTTTCCTTTGGAATCCATAACAATAATAATAATGTAGTGAGAGAGTACAGGAATGAGCCATATGTTTTGTCGGTTAACTCTTTGGTAAAAGACAGTGTGGACTAAGGTGTCGGAGAGACGAATGAGTGAGAGGGTTTGGATCATGTCATGGGCTAGTATATGATATGTAGTCACTATGAGAAGTAATTAATCTTCTATAAATAAAAGGGGAATATGAGAGTCACTTTAAATCAGCCAATAGAGATGTTTCATTCTGCCAAGTCAGTGCCACCTGGGTAAATGAATTGCCTTTCAGTTGGGCTTGATTTTTTTGGGCCTGAAACGTGTTTTTCTGCGAGGTCCACTATCGATCAGACCAGATTAGGTCAAACTGCTCCTCTCCTCTCGTCTCCTTTCCTTTCATCCTCTCCCGATTCGTCTTCTTCCTATCTCTTTGCCTATTCTCTTTGCAAATCGGTTTCAAAATCGAAACTCCTCCACAATTCTCTTCCATCAATTCTTCGTTTATCACATTCATGGCTTCTTTCCATCTGCCTTTGCATCTATTTCACTATAAATTTCATTTCGTATTTTCTCTATCCATTTTACTTCGTAAACTTTTCTCAAGAGATCAAACCGATGGAATCCAAAGGACAATCTGCAAACTCCGGCGATTGCGTGTTTAAGAAAAGGAATGACAGCTCCTCCGCGGTCGATCGTAAGAAAGTGTTGAAGACCGATGGCTCATCCACTCAGATGGAATCCAAACGTCACTGTCTAGATTCCAGAGACCACAAGTCAGTCATCGACACTGACGGCTCTTCCGCGATGGGTCGCCATTAAGATCCCAAGAACGATGGCTCTTATAAACTGATGGTAGCCGACGGCTTCTCCCAGAATGTTGTGAAACCGACTGGTCAAGGCTCTGTGTCCTCCGCGCTTTCAACCAAACGTCACGGCAAGGGTGTTGTCTCCAATGAGAGATGTACCAACATTATGTTCTTTGCGGACATCACACAGGGTCCACACGAAGCTGTGTTGCGGTTTCGTCTCGTCCATTTTTAGGAGGCTGAAAACCCGCATTCAAAAATTTTGATTGGAGAGAAGATGCTTCTCATCGATGAGAAGGTCGATCTTTACCTTTTCTCAATTTTTTTAATTTTTAAATGATTGATAAGTTTTTGGTTTGATTTTCATTGGCTTATTGTTCAATAGTTTTTATTATTGAAATTTTTTTGGTGTTGTTGTCATTGGCATATTGATTGTTTGTTTTAATTGTTGTTATGAATTGTGATTGCTTGCGTTAGCATGTTTTGATCATTCATTTTTCATATTTGATGTTCTTAAAACAGTTTTTTTGTCCACTTTGCTTGAATAACGTGTTTTGATCATCACTCGGTATTGAATTTGAATAGAAAGGGCCTAATTTTTGAATAAATAAAGATGTTATAATTTTTTTTCATTTATCCAATATTCCTTCTAGAATTGTATTTTATTTACAATCATAATAGGTTATCAGCAATTAGTTTAGAAAACGATACCATTTTGTTGTTTATATTTACTATTTCACATGGTTTGTAATTAGTTTAGAAATGGTTTAGATTGGTATGATAACTATTCTTCTTAAATCATTCGTAAGTAAACCATACTCTTAATTGCCTTTTCTTATGTAATTGAGTGTACATTAGATAACCAAATTTATCTAATTCTCGGTTTTTATAAATCAAATAAGAAGTTGGTTTATACTGAAAATTTAATAACGTTTTGGGTTGTTTTCTTAGCTGATTCCTCACATAGTGTCATCTTTGATATTGTTGTGGTATTTATGAATTTGATAGCTTTGATACTCACCTTTATATTCTTAACAGGGAACTGCGATTCAAGGATTTATTCCATCAAGACATGTTGATGCTCATCTGCCACACTTGAAAGTCGGTTGTGTCTATAAGCTGATGAACTTTTTCGGATCCTGTAGCAAATAGAACTTCCGTGTTGCTGATAATAATGTCACTGTGACGTTCTCATGGAATTCGGTGCTAACACTTCTTAAGGACGATCCGGTTCCATTCCCTGAAGATAGGTTATGGTTCCATAGCCATGATGAGTTCTAAGCTAACTGCGACCTCAAAGGAGACCTTTATGGTAAGCTTGATAAACTATTGATTTTAGTCTTAGATGTTTATTATAGAATTTTGGTTTGTATTAGAAGTATTTTCAATCTGTAATCAACCGATAAACAACTTAGTAGCATTTTATTGTCTTTTTATTATGGTTTGGCATTTGACAATTGTTATTGTTTCAGATTATATTGGCCACATGAAATTGGTGGAATGCCTATAACCGACTGTCCCATACTTGATGAAGTCGACATTTCAGCAAAGTGGCATGTCTTGGTTCATGTTCAGACACATGAGTAAGTCTATGTAATGCTTAAGACGTATTCCATATTTGTTCTTATTAACATGTGTTTTTGATTTGATACAGCGGCCCAGTGATGAAGATGTATCTATGGGACAAGGCTGCTAACATGGTCAATGTCGAGGTCGTGACCAAACCTGAGAGTGACCATAAGTGAATTGTTCGCTTACATAAAGCAGGAAACTGCTAAGGTATATGATTTACAATGTTTCAAATTCATTATAGATTACTTTTGTACTTATGGAATTAACTTTTACAATGTTGTAGGTTGCTTGGTTTGAGTGCACAGCAACCATTGATGATGTGCTTCGTGGCTCAACGTGGTATTACATCTCTTATGGTAGGTGTCATTCAAAAGCAACGAAAGGGGCAAACTCTATGATGTGTACTAATAAGAAGTGTAAGAAATCTGAAGTCACAGGCGTTCCAGAGTAAGAATTGCTAAGTTATTTCAACCTTTCATTGCCAGCATTAGTTACTAATCTTCCTCCATGATAGGTACATCGCCAAAGTATTTGTCTATGACAAGAGTGAGCAGGCTGCGTTTGTCATACTTGGGGATGATGGACGTGAGCTAACTGGCAAACATGCAATAGAGTTGGTTGCAAATTATTTAGAGGTACTCTCTAACTAATTGATCATTCTGCTCAAATTATTTATACTGACACATGATTGCATGTATTTAGAGTAATGAGTGTGTGGGAGCTGATGGTGTTGTGCCGGTGCCACAAGCCCTAATGGAAACAATTGGTCAAACCCGCAGGTTTATAGTGAAGGTGTCAGAGCATAATCTAACTGGAAAGAGTCAATCCATCACTGTAACTAAGGTGCTCCCATCAGAACAACCATAACATCCTATTGAAGATGCTGCAGACGAGAAGATTGAAGAGGTTTCTGGTAGGCATGCATCAGAGAAGGTCAACAGTGGCTAATAGAGCTACACTCACTGCTGCTTGCCCTAGTTTTTAAGTTTATGTTTAGACTCAGCTTTCTCTACGTTTTGCTTTACAAACATGAATTGGTTTTTTAGTTATAATTTAATATTTTGGATGTTTAATATTTTTTAAATGAAAATTTGTTGGAAAATAAAAAACAAATTTGTTCAGTTTTGCTAATTTTCCATGGAATAGTTTTTTAGAACGGAGATTTTTTATTTTTAATAGTTTTAAAATTTAAAATCGTTGTAAAATATAATTTATTTCTTATGTTTAAATATCTGATGTTTAACTAATTTCCGCTGAATATGTTTGTATACTTAATAAATTTTAATTTTCTGTGTTCAAATCTGATAACTAAATTGAATGATGAATACAATATGTGTGTTATCATATATTATCATTAAATGTAATTTTAAGAGAATTTTCAGTACTTGAGAACCGCAAGATTGACCTTTGGGTTTCTTTTTAAATTTTTGAGATGATATTTTTATCATCTCAAGTGCGCGAGCTTAGCCCAAAAGAGAAATACTTTATACTCATTTATTTTAAAGGATGTAAATAAATTTTATGATTGTGATTTTTCTCATAAATCACAAACCGGTCTCCCGACAAACTGGACAACTTACGTTCCTGCGAACCCATTCATCAATGTATAAAAAATAGAAAGTATGGCAATAAGTGAGAGAGCTTATTTTTTTCAATGAGTATTTAGTGTTTGGCTGTTTTGTAATTCTCTTAGTTTTGCTTGTTGACCATGTTTATGTATTTTACTAAATATTGTTACAAATATAGAAATTTTTAGTATTTTATTTTCTAATATTTTGTTATGATTAAAAATGTAATTTTTATGTGTTTATGTCATATTTATGAGTAAAATATTGGTTTAGTCAAATTAATTACATATTGTGTATAAGCTCACATTCCATTCTCGCTTAGTTCACACTTCCTAAAATAGAGCGTATTATGAGATTGAAGCTGAGCATATTGCACTCATCAAAGCATCCAATGTTCTATTTATACAGCATGAAAGCTTTTTTGAGCAAAAAAAAAAAGAAAGCTAAATTGGGAAATCTTTGGTGTTTAGTGGTTTATGATGAAAAATGTTTGGCATATAATTTTTTGGTCAGTTTAACTAAATTTTCATGGATCGGTGACAATAAAAAATAACCAACTTTCCATAGTAAAATTTTTGTAACCAACGACTTTATTGTTTAAGTAACATCTTACATTACGTTCAATGGATATTTACTTTTTTTGACTAACATCTTACATTTTTCGTAATCAACGACTTTATTGTTTAAGTAACAGCTTACATTATTTTGCATATAATACATGACTCATGTTTAGGTTTTTTGTTGACCGTGTATTTTTTATTTATTTAAATGTTTTCATAACTATGGACAATTTTTAGATTTTTTTTTGAGGTGGAGTTGCAATATGAAAATGAAATTTCAATATTTTTGTTCTTGTGTTTGAGAATAAACTAATGGTTAAGGAGCATGAGGTTTTGGAAGTTTTAAATAATTCTCTATATTACATTAGAATTAATTTTGCTTTTTTATATATAGACAGTTTTTTATTGATAAGTGATTTATAATTTTATATTTGTATTTTTGGTCTATATAGTTTAAATCTAATTATGTTAGTATAATTTTCTTTATTTTTTTATTATTTAAAGTTTCAAATAAGAAGATGCAGTGATAATAATTCTTTTAAACGTATTGTAAACAGTCAATGTAGGCAATAACATTAAAAAGGTAAAAATAGTAATGAGCAGAATGCAACCGGTTATCACTATTTTGCATGTATACTTTAGTATTTTCAAATCTTGGTTTATTTTAAATTTTGTATTCATTTTATTCGACCAATTGAACTTGAATATAATAATATTCTTTTTTATTGGTATATATGTAGATTTTTTTTTCTTTTATAGCACATAGTTTATGTCATTGTAGTTTATAATTACGTCAATAGTTATAAATTGATTTTGATACAAATCTTGAAACTGAAACATATTTTATAACTATGATCATTTTATTAAGGTTAAGACCAAGTTATGTTTATTAATTCGTAACTTCTTTACTATTAAATATATATTAATGTTGTAAACCCCTACATTCTGATTCTATTATACAACTCCTCTATAACTCTAAACAACTCCTCTAAAATCTAAACATGAGTCAGTTATTTTGGGTTCTATGCCACAAAACGGAACCATCTTTATCATCTCCAAAAATAATCATTACCATGAAGACAAAGAGGCCAATAACACAGCAAACAAAAATTGTGATATCCATCGCCCTGAAGACAGCAAGCAATGGCCACCTAATCCATGATACGGTAGGTGATATGGAGTACATGCTTGAATACCATGAAATTTATTTTGATTCGGTGATGGAAATTATCGACCAGACTTCTGACTTTGTCGCACCCACTATTCCGACGCTCGATGATCCCACAGGTACATATCTTGATATAATTGTTAAGATATCTGATCACAACCCCTACATTAAGCAAGTTGTGCTCTACAATATGGGCATGTTAAGGTTTTTTTAATCCAGTGCAAAAATGCAGTGATGATGATCAGAATGTTTACAATTTAAAGAGTTTATCTCTCCTTCTGTGCCAAACTCTTCACAGCAAATTGGGCATATATCATTTTTTCGCTAGAGATGGGTTCTTTTCGGTTATCACGAAGCATCTAGGTTGTGATTATATATCTTCACAGTTATATCAAGATCTGTAACTGTGGAATCATCGAGCGTCGGAATAGTGTGTGCGACAAAGTCAGAAGTCTGCTTGATAATCTCCATCACCAAATCAAAATCAGTTTCATGGTATTCAAGCATGTACTCCATATCGTCGACCGTATCGTGGATTAGGTGGCCATCTTGCTGTCTTCAGGGCGAATGATATCATAATTTTTTTTTGTTGTGTCCTTGGCCTCTTTATCTTCATGGCAATGGTTCTTTTTGGAGATGATAAAGATGATTTCGTTTTGTGGCGTAGAACCCAAAATACCTGACTCATGTTTAGATTTTGTAGGAGTTGTTTTTGAGGTATGGAGGATTTGTATAATGGAATCAAAATGTATGGGTTTATATAGGTGGTAAATTCTAAAAGTTTTTTTTAATACACCATAAGTTACAACATTAATATATGTTGAATAGTAAAGAAGTTACGAATTAATAAACATAACTTGGTCTTAACCTTAATAAATTGATCATAGTTATAAAATATGTTTCAGTTTCAAGATTTGTATCAAAATCAATTTAAATATATTAACGTAATCATAAACTACAATAACATAAACTATGTGCTATAAAAGAAAAAAAAATTCATATATACCAATAAGAAAGAATAGTAATTATATTCAAATTCAATTGGTCAAATAAAATGAATACAAAATTTAAAATAAACCAAAAAATGAAAAAAATACTAAAGTGTACATGCAAATAGTGATAACCGGTTGCATTCTTCTCATTACTATTTTTACTTTTTAATGTGATTGCCTACATTGGTTGTTTAAAATACGTTTAAAAAATTATTATCATTGCATCCTCTTATTTGAAGCTTTAAATAATAAAAACATAAAGACAATTATATTAACATAATTAAATTTAAACTATATACTACAAATACTAGTATAAAATTATAAATCACTTATCAATAAAAAAACTGCCCATGTATAAAAAAAAAGCAAAATTAATTATAATGTAATATAGAGAATTATTTAAAACTTCCAAAGCCTCACGCTTCTTACTAAACCATTAGTTTATTTTCAAACATAAGAACAAAAATACTGAAATTTCATTTTCATATTGCAACTCCACCTCAAGAAATATATCTAAAAACTGTCCATAGTTATGACAACATTTAAATAAAAAAAAACAAATACATGGTCTACAAGAAATCTAAACATGAGTCAGGTTTTATATGCCAAATAATGTAAGATGTTACTTAAACAATAAAGTCGTTGACTACGGAAAAATGCAAGATGTTACTCAAAAAAAGTAAATATCCATTGAAAATAATGTAAGATGATACTTAAACAATAAATTCGTTGACTACAAAAAAATTTACCATGGAAAATTGGTTACTTTTTTTGTCACCGATTCATGAAAATTTAGTTAAAATGACCAAAAAAATTTATATGCCAAACATTTTTCATTATACACCATTAAACATCAAAGATTTCCAAATTTAACTTTCATGCTATAGAAATAGAACATTGGGTGCTTTGATGAGCACAATATGCTCAGCTTCAATCTTATAATATGCTCTATGTTAGGAAGTGTGAACTAAGCGAGAATGGAATGTAAGCTTATACACAATATCTAATTTATTTGACTAAACCAATAGTTTATTCATAAATATGACAACAAAAATATAAAAATTACATTTTTAATCAAAACAAATATTAAAAAATAAAATACTAAAAAATGTCTATATTTATAACAATATTTAGTAAAAAAACATAAACATGGTCAACAAGCACAACTAAGAGAATTAAAAAACAGTCAAACACTAAATACTCATTGAAAAAATAAGCTCTCTCACTTATGGCCATACTTTCAATTTTGGATACATTGACAAATGAGTTCGCAGGAACGTAAGTTGCCCGGTTTTTCGGGAGACTGGTTTGTGATTTATGAGAAAAATCACAATCATAAAATTTATTTACATCTTTTAAAATAAATGGTTATAAATTATTGTTTTTAGGGGATAAGCTTGCGCACTTGAGATGAATAAAAATATTATTTCACAACTTTAAAAAGAAAACCCAAAGGTCAAATCTTTGTGGTTCTCAAGTATTGGAAATTTTCTAAAATTACATTTAATGATAATATATTATAACACATATATTGTATCCATCATTCAGTTTAGTTATCACATTCGCACAAAAAAAAAAT